TCACTGAGTCAGCCGCAGGAACATCCAGAATGTTCCCACGAATCTCACTTTGTTATATGTACTACTTGTACAAAATGTACAGGACAAGAACTTAACAGTCACTAAAGATAATATACAGAATTCATTACTATCAAGGAGTAGAATTAAATGTCAGGCCACTGTCTGTAGTACAAACTTACATTGTACCCATATCGACCTATCGTGAATGACTCCAGACTTACAGCTTCTTACAGTTGAAAAAGAATTGGCCTGGTAAAGGCTGGTATCGCTGATATTGGTCCGCTCAGACCTATGTACATTCACCCCAACATGTCGACCATCTATCATAGGAACAGAGGCTGTCCAAGCGTGGATAATGACCCAGCTGAACATACCTGGATCTCTCCCATTGCAATGTTATCATTGACTGAAGACATTGATCATACGTATGTAGGAAAACCATGCACTGCGTATGTAAGCCCACGTGAATCATTTTGATGTATGGTGTGGATGTTATGAACAACTAAGGAAATCCATGTCTTTGTGACAAAACCCTTATCATGTGCTGGGAAAATCCTGCCTTTCCAAAAGTGTATCCTGATAAAACGTTGCTGGTACAGAGTCGAATAAAAGGGGATAGACGTTCACACCCGTATTATAAAAAGATCGTATTCCTTAGAAAGTTTCACAAGGCAGATGGAAACAGTTGATAAGCACTTTGATGTTGTGGAAATGAGGCTTAGGATCAGGAAAAGGAATTGCTGTAGATAAAGTGTCCTTGGCTGTTGTGAGAATGAGAGGCTTTGAAACATAATGCTTGGAAGGGAAATCAGATTGAATGAACACAGCTTTGTATAATTGAGAATATCTCACTGAACACCTACCACAATGTACATGACATGTTTTGAAAGTAGCATGTCAACTTTGGCACTGGGTAACTACCAGGCTTGGATGATGGCATCAGCTATTGTCCACTAGCCAATGGATACTAGTGCTAGACTAGTATGCTCCAGAGAATTTATTATATTCTACAGAAAGTAAAAGTCAAGTCACATCCACAAGTTTTTAGAGTTCTCTAGCACTTATATGGCCACTTCAAATGACCATCTATCAAACAAGAACATCAAAACTTTTTTTACAGCCTTGGCCAGACCCTTTTTCATCTCAAGCTGCATAGAAACATGTTGTACCAAAACAGAAATAGGGAAGGACAAATTTTTTCTGAAATTCAGCAACATACAGTGGCATCGTGTGGTGTATAAGTGGTACATCACTGGACTATGAAACGGGGAGACCCGGGTCATACCCGAACAAGTCCGAACATGCGCCGCGACATTGTACCCTTGGGAAAGGTACTTTACACGACTTTCCTCACTTCACTCAGGTGAAAATGAGTACCTAGCTTTGGCTAGGGACGTCCCTCGGATAGGACGTTAAATGGAGGTCTCGTGTTTGGGAGAGCCACACCCCACGCACGTTAAAGAACCCACCACACTTATCGAAAAGAGTAGGGGACCTTCCCGGTGTGAGTGGTTCAAACATTACAGTCTGGTCTCGGGGTTGACATCTTTGACATCTCAATCCTTCCACAAATGTGGTAAATTGTCATAAATAAATAAACATGACACATGTATCATGTTGATGGTCTGTAAGAGTCTTGATTCTGCTGAAAATCCTAGACAATGCCCCTCATTGGAAATCTGTTCTAAGACAGCCTAAATAGAATGTAGAGTACAACATGATGTGACTATAAGGATTTGCACATAAAGCAATCTAGGGCAAACACATTTCTTGACCACATCCCATGTTAGCATACTCAACCGAGTTTTGTTCCTCTCCTTTCTTCCCTGTGGGTTGTTTATGGCAGTGGCTAAGGTTTCTGTTGCAATGAATTTTAAAGGTTACTGTATTCCCCAATCCTATAATGGCACTTTGGGGAAAAATTGAATTTTCATCTTTCATGATTGTTATACAAAATGTATTATGAGCCCAAACTTTAGAGCCTATCACAGGTACCAGCCACTTCAGCATTTCAAAAGTGCTAACGTCATTTTACAATAAGCAAGAGATGTTTTATGTCAAATGAAGCATGTTGGTATCCAATGCTGCAAGTCAGTAATAATGCTTGTGAATTGGCTGTGACACATTTGGGCTTATTGACAGCCATTCAACCAATCAATGCCAGCATGCAGTTCTAGTGATTATGGCTTACAGGCACAGGGTAAAAAATGCCTCCACAACGACTTGAAATTAAACGTGATGTATATCTTCATGACTTGCTGCTGGAGGGTCAGACTGGAACAAAATCGTCTGTCTCACTGCAATTAAATTCTGGTTATCATTAGATACATAAATTCGGAAAACGTCAAAACATGATTGTAAAACAGGGATTCAGCAGATCATGCAATCTAAAAAGCTGTAAGATGTGGGATTTAAAGGCCAGATCCAGACACATATCGCAGCCGAAGGTAATGAGAAGACAGGTTAACGATGGGATGGAGACATGAGAAATAAAGTTTTAACCTGCACAATTTTCTTCAAGCCATGTTTCAGACAGATATAAGCTGCGCACACGTATGCTGGTCACAGTGTCGAGGTAAAAACACGGCAGAGTTGGTGATCCTTTCACAAAACAATTTGTCCATGTCTGAATTATTGTCCATGTCTGAAGTAACTTACACTTAATCCAAATTTTTGACAGTTCAACTTCAGGTATTACTTGAAAAAGACGGGAGTTGGACGGTTGAAATTTTTTTGTGCGCTGGAAATCACTGTTCAAACCTGCCTCAGAATGATTTCTAACCAACACAGTTGAGCTTCATGACAAAATTTGTCCATGTCCCTGTTCGATATTAAAGATATACATGTATACATAGATAACTGTAGATATTTCTTCCCAACCAAAACCTTCATGGGAAGATGGAAATTTGGGACTTTCCCACCATCACATTACAGCAGCATCGACTTTCCAGCTGCAATAAGGTTAAATTCTGAAGATAATATTGGAGCCGAAAGTGTCCTTGTCCCTCACAATATGTACAGAGTACATTGGAACAAGAGTGATGTCCTCAACCACACATACTGCAATGCCCGTAACATACTAAAGGCTAGGTCTGAATATGTTTCCAATTTAGCACAGTGACAGGTTATCACAATAGTGCATCAGTACAGCAAGGCAGCTTCTTCCTTAATATAAACTTCCAAGTCCCCACACCCCCTTTGCCTGAGGTTTTGAACATGGATCTTGAGGGGTACTAAACAAATTTGGATACAGTGTATGTTGCTGGCTTGGAAGCATTTTATGAATGCTACAATTCTGTGTATTTGTTTATTGTCTTCTGCCTGTTAATTGCAATATAGTTTGCCATAAAGTTTGCTTATGTCATTAAAATGAAAGTTAGAGAGATTAAAGACTTTGTGAGGTTACACAATGGTTACTAAAATCAGCATGCACACAGCTCTCGAGTCTTAGTGAGTCAGGAAGCGATGAACTATTGCTTTATTTGTGGCTTGTGGGTATATCTGCGAGTAGGTACATTCAATCAATGCAGGTAGAAGAAATTGCTTGTGCAGTTGTGACATATTCCTCTGCATTAGCAACACAAAAGGAATGCTGCGCTGCAGAGGTAATTGTGAAGAAATGATGTTGATGAGTTCTGGCTCTTCCTCGGGGCAACAAATGTTCTGCAAATAGCAACGACTATTAACAAGCCCAGGCCACAAATTGGTGTTCTCTGCTCCATGAGATGGAGAAGACTTGAGGAGAGGCATATAATGCATACAAATCAACGGGTACCCCCAGGGACACAGACAGACTTAAGCCACCGCCTCTTTCCCATTAAAAGAATCAGCACCGAAACTTTCCACTCAAAGCATACAATCAGAGGATTACATGCTGACGTTTAGCGATTGGTGAAATAACAGCCACAACTTTTCTTACACGAATTTCCAATTCCATAAATCCAACTGTTATCTGCTAATGAGAATTTCTTGTGACATGAAATAAGGAAATCCTGAGTAACACGGCAACTGCGCACTCCCCAAGGACCCTTCTACTGTCCTCCAATAATGAGAAGACTCCTGACTTCCACATATCAGGATGATCTGCATGATTACTTTTATGGGGACTCAGGATTTTGTGGCTGCCTGCTGGCTTTATGTTTCTCATTTTCTTGCCAATTTTCTGTTTTTCCCCACCTTTACCACAATCCATCAGAGTACTTGCCTCAACTGCACCTAGTATGGATTGGCAAAACTGTATGGATTGGCAACTGTATGGATTGGCAACCGTGTATATCAAACTGTGTTTGATGTGCAGCAATTCATCCCTCATTAAGGCTAGTGCTGGCCTTGTCTTAATGATCAGTGGCAGGCCCAGGTGTCGAGGTATTTAACCCTGGTAACCTCAATACATTTTACAATCTACGGCACCATCTATACTAGAGGCCGCTGGCGACATCAGGGCTCTGTTGTCTTCACTTCCTCGTGTAATACAAAGTTTAAGGCTTTGAAGCTGTTAAAGTAACCATCTGAACAACAGTTGAGTATTTCTGTAAACAACAGAGACTAACAGGTCTGTACAGTTCACAACTGCAGTACAAGTTGGTTGCAGGACAGGGTGTGTTTGTGACAATGTCTTACAGTGCCAGAATGCACCAGTCCCAGTCCCAGTCAAACTACTGGACTTCTTACACTTGATAACTGTGGACCAGGTCAATGTCTCTACACATCAGGTCCTGAGTGCAGATCTCCCTATCTGGCCTGCCTGATACACTGTCCATGGGAATTGCCATTGGGTTCTGACCCATCACAGTAAAACAGTTAAAATCCCCATCGTGGCCGTGAATACGGTCACACCGGCACACAAAAACGCTGCCGCCAGATAAGGTACCTCCAGGAGTGATTGCTTGAAAGAGAGGGGGGATTATTGCCAGATCTATCTGCGTCACACTTAATATCTCATGCTAACTGCTGCAGAGAGAACCATAAAAGTGCACCAGACCAGCTCCACCCCGCCTTACCTTGCCATTTATAGCCATGGGGCGATCCAGAATTGCATGCATGCCTAGAATAGCTGATTGTGGTTGGTTGATGATCGGGGTACCAAACATGGAGCCGAACACCCCTCCATTACTGATGGTGAAGGTGCCTCCATCCATGTCCTCGATGGCCAGCTCACCCTTGCGTGCCTGAAAGAGAGAGGGTCAGAGGTTATCCCAGTGCATCATGCCAGATTATGCCGGGTATACAGCCACAGCTAATACCTCATCACACTGCAATCAAAGGGGAGCCGGTAATAGCAGCATTACCTCCCCGACCCAGGCAATGTTGTGCATGGATGATCGCAGGAAATCCTCCACCAAAAGAAGTGATGGGCCAGTGAGATAAGTCTATCTTTCTACAACATTTAATCTTACCGGAGACTTGGAGCCAAGTTGCAGGAGGCGTGAGCTGCACACAGAATGTCCTCACACAAACAGTCTAAAATGCCACACATACAGCATTGCCAGTGAATAGCAAGCACCACTGTACCGTAAAAATTGGTTGTAGGTTTGTTGATGAAGGTTAAACATCCAGGTAATGAGATACACAAGAGATGCAGTTACTCAAGCAACTGGATAGATTTTTAAAACTTTTCAAAACTTCTTGTGGGTGTAGGTTTGTATGCACAGCCAGACACATTTCTAGAATATTCAGCAAATAGCTCAACCACTTTTGAACTGAACTCAACTATGAGAAATTTTATGAAAGCCACCCCCGTAGCCCTCCCACTGTCAGCCACCCACCGGATTTATTGAAGCATGTGTAACCTACATGGAAGAATATGCAAAGGCTGAAGTTTCCACAGTATTTTGTATACATTGTAGGTATGAAGACAGGCAAACTGACTCTTTTGTTTCTTTAAAGAATGTGGTTGTCTTGTCCTGCAGTCGTTATTGTAGCCACCTGCTCACCTTCACCTTTACCTTGTCCCATCCTCATTTTCCCAACGTTTACGCAAAGATCTCCGAACTAAGCCCATAATGCATGATAAAAAAGGCCATCTATTCCTTAATCTTATCGGAAATGGCAGTTGCCGAGCATTATCATCAATAGTTCACTGACTGAACATGGGCTCATATAGATTGAATCCAGCCTAGGACAGGAACTACTTATCAAAAAGCTATACATGTATAATCTGGCACTGTTACAACTTAGTTGGCTCCATGCGTGTGTTAGGAGTAGATAGGGGAGTAGATAGGACTGTGACCGCACGGGCGGTCAAGACATATGGTCTTCATTAACAGGAATAAAGTACCTCCGGCCATGTGGCAGGAGTTAGTCTAGAGTGAGATCTCGTCTTGTGCAGTTCTCTGACAGCTCGGCTCACCCCGCTAGCCTCGGCTACCCTACATTTGGTGGCAGCGGTGGGATTGTAATAGAACTTTCCAACAGTGTGATTACCATTATACTGCCAGTATGTAAAAAACATAAAATGCAAGGATATCTTAAAACTTCTTTGTAACAAATCATGATACTTCCTTTCAGCGCAAGTGATTATCTTCGGCAATAACCTGTGTTGGAGTTGGTGGGCAGGTGCCATCTTACCTTCTCTCCCAGTTCCTGGATGGTTTTCTCAATGTCAGCGTAGTTCATGTTTCCCACATCCCTGATGACAGGTACAACCAGACCCTGCAGACACAAAACAAACTCATCTTCTTAGCAAATATCTTAGATATCAAGGAAAACTTTACATGTTCGTTTTGGCAACCAAGTCTGACAAGTACAGTGTGTGTAGGAGTCAGCCTCCATTCCTGTTTCCCTCACTGGCAGACACAAGGAGTTTAAAAAATCTTTTGAAGGAGTCCTGTAGAAAAAAAACAAACACATCTTATGCAGGATCTTCAATGCCTGATGTGACCAGTATCTTAACATCATTGGATACCCGTATATACAACAGCATGTACATCAGCACCGTGGACAGACTCCACAGTCTAGGGCAGGTTCTTTGGTCATGCTGACAAATAAATGGAAGGAAGAATAGATCAATGTATGCTTAGCTAATGGTGAAGAAATGTTTGTGGGTGGGACAGCCACTGAATACAGCGGCGAAAAACAAATCTCAGGAACATGTCTCAAATTCATAGGAATTCATGAGGTGTTGATACTAGAAATCAACTGCCAGCAAAGGTTGCTGTTTGATGATGTTAAGAACTGTCTAAGTCATCCTATACAGTTTCCTTCTAAAAACTGGTTCATGGTGTACCACAACAGGGAAAATTAAATGCAGACTGACACATTGCTCCATTCTTCGGTCAGCAATTCTCTGCTGAGGATAGGCAAGCGTCAATTTTCCAACACAACAATGTCCTCCATCTCCTACAGGGCAGAGCAGACAATTTTGTACTCTAAACTTTTCATTGATTCCCACGGTCTGCATCTCAACAGATAAGGCTACCTCTCAAATTATCCAACCAGGTTAAGGCTAACTTAGATTGCAAAGCAAGACCAAAGGCATGCCTGCTTGCATGATGATAAGGCAGTTCCGAAATCACCAGTACCATACATCAGACATCCATACATAAAGGGCGGCCTGCAAAATGGGATCAGCAATATGAGATTTCACCAAAAAAGTGCATTTTCCAGGCTCTGTCCTTTTGGTTTACAACTACCCTGGGGGCTCTGCTTTACTGTCTGGCTGTATCAAATTCATCCTGGGCTTTTCCACGTGCAAGAGGACAGGACCATCTGTCAGTCAGTGACCCGTATCAGTAAACTCTCAAATTCCAGAACGCAATACCAGGGGTAAGCCGCATCTATCTCCACGCCAAGTGACACAGAAGGATGTGGGACAAGGGAACCCCTCAGAACACTGTCCTGACCAAATTTACAATTCAGAGTAGATGAATGGCAGGAGAGGATCTGGGGATTTTTGACAGAGTGAGTTATCTGGGAATGTGCACGAGACTGGAACCTGGGAGAGGAATAAAGTATCCTGGAAGGCAGCTGAAAGTCAAAAGGTCGGCTGGCGAGATATAAAGATTTGTCTCCATATCTGAGGCAGACAGACCACGATCATGACTATACAGCGGTGCATTTGGCTGAGGCTGAGGTCGTCTTGGGAATCTGCAAGAACATCCCAACTATCAACAACAAAATAGGAGGTTTTCCACTAACACCACAACAGTCAGTGGAAAATTGGCTGCTCAACGATTGATTTGGGATTGGGATGATGTCCCATGAACATATAAAGGTCAGCAAGCTGCTTCAATCGTAAGGATTTACTGTTATGAAAATAGGCTAGACATAGGAATGGCTGGGGGACTACATCAGGGACCAGTCTGTATAACTTATTAAATTCATAAAGCATACAGCCTTGACATTCGGGTTGATATCCTCTCATGAAACCCTATGTCTGATGCAGTAGTGTAAAAAAAAATGACCAGATTGACCAATGAATAAATGAACAGATTTCTCATAGAATAGAATCAAGTTCAGTCAACACTGCCAAAGGAGACAACCCAGAGGGACCAATATAATAATAAAATCTAGTCTTAATGCTTGTGTGAATGGGAAAAATTTTCTAAGGAACACCAAAAAGTGGTTACATTGACCAGGTGGTCCTTATAACCATACAATGACTTTTCTTATTAAACTTAAATTAAGGTGACTAGTCAATTAGGTAATTGCTTAAGTTGATTGCATTAATTATTAGATGCCTCCTTTTATCATTACAGAATACTTGCCCTTAGAAGGTAATTTTCTTAAGATGCCCATTACGACATTATGCAACCAAGTTTTGAAAGCAATTACCTGATTGGCTAGTTACCAACTTTAAATCTAATAAGAAAAGTTGTTTTGTGGGAAAGAAACTGTACAGCAAAGAGACCATTAGCAGTTAAACATGCTACTATGTCAGAGTACGCAACAGTGACAGACTTTGACTTTAGCTAAAAGGAATGAAACGGAAAAGCTGAAGCTTTATCCTGATTGTGGAGCATTCCGCAGGGACAGTGGAGCTTCAGTCAGGCTAGGAATGAAGCACCTGACAGATAAATCCAATTTTCCCCGGAGTCCTTCTCGGCTCCTACAAGTGATGTGTTCCTGGACATACAGGTACACGGAGGCCATCAAACTACCTTGTTATGTTTGTGAAGGCTCGACAAGTGCTGATGGATGGAAGTTTTAAGTGTGTGTAATAAGCCTCAGCCCCAGCCTCCTGCTGCCGACAACCTGCACATAAATCAACACAGGGCAACAGGAGGAGTCGAGCTGATGCAGGCTGCTGACATTAAGCTGTAGCCCAGGCAAACATGAAAATGTATGTTTGATTGTATCTAGTGCTTGCATTTATTGTTGTACCATATAACATGTTTTATACCAGTAATGTGTGGAGCGCAACATCAGCTAAATCTGCTGCCTTGGACTGCATCGCATATTGCTTTTGCAATTTGAGTAAAGAGATGTACATTTCAGGGGAACTGCTGTCCAAGACACACATAGAATTTAAAAACAATCCTGCGCACCATTGGGGGGAACAACAAACAAAGCAGACAGATCATTCCTCAATAACTTCATATTACAAAACTGGATGGCAAGCAATTTGTCTTATAATCAGAAAAGCAGCAACAGCACAGGATGACAGCACAGGCAGAAAATTAAAGATGTAGGCAAATTTCACACCTGGGTGCCGGCGCAGCGGGTAATGCCATGGAATAGTCGGCAGTGCTTCTTTATCCTTCATTTCCTGTTTCACTAAGTGTAGTACTTAGAGAGGGTTTGGCTTAGGTTGCGATCACACACTCCGTATTGCCGCGTCTTTCGCAGATGTGCGATAGGCTTGCTTCCACACGTCACACATCAAGGCAGAGCATGGAAAATTGTTTCTTAATGGGTATATGGGAAATGTACTATTGCGTTGACTTTCAGATGTCAACCACATAGGGTCAACTGGATCCTGAGTTAATTCAGAATTTGATCCATATGGAAATGCAGCAGGGTGCCACAGGAAAATTGTATGGAAAATGTGTGTGTATTGGCTTTGTCTTTGAATTTATAATGCAGGAATGATGCCTTTACCATAAACAGTCACTGAACTACTACATTCCTGAGAAAATCTTTTGTCAATTGATGTAATATACAGATATATAAGTGTGGTAGGTTCTGGAAACTGGAATATTTCTACCACTGAATCAGTGATACAGTAAACATTGACTGGATAACTAAACGTGTGACTACATTTATGTACAGAATGATATATTCCAGAGGATGTCAGCTGTCAAAAAACATTTTTAAGGACTAGATATGCTATTTCTTATCTATCAAGAAGATTAGAGCCTTTTCCTCCATCCTAATCCAGTAACCAATATTGCCACAATAGGCACCAAAAGGTTATCTTGGCATGGCAATGGTTAATCCTCTTTGTTAACTCCTGTCATCTACAAGATTTGATACGCAGGCTCTCAGCAGGAATCATTAAGACTTTGCTCCCAAAACTCAGACTTCCCCCTGCCGGGACATTAGCTTCTGTAGGATAAAATCTGCTAAGCCTGGAGATTCATCAAAACAGGACGACTTAGGGCTGATAAGGAACCCTAATGAAAGTGACAATCCCTACCGTTAACATCTGCACCTCCATCTATGAATGATAATTGCTTCCTTTCTATGGGACATGCTTTTTGTCAACAGCGTGTAATGTTGAGACATTTTAAGAGACAGACAGCACATTTTTTTTCTGTAATACTAGATAACTGAGTTAGGTGGTGGCTATGGTGAAGGGCCAAAGGTCAGTCCTCAATATCAAATGGACATGACATATAGTCCTATGCTATAAAATGTGTAATGATATAATTATAAGCTAAAAAGGTAATGGATGGTAACTATTTGTTGTATAATAATAATAGGTGTATTAGAGATATTAATAAAATGTTTACCTCAGCTAGATGTAGATGTGTGAGACATATTAGAAAATGATTTACCTCAAAATCTATTATAAAAAATGAAGGTAATGTTTCTGTCTGTCTGTGTTTCAGAATATTTTGGCCAACAACAACTTAGATATGGATGGATTATGATAATATTTGGTACATAGGTTGGTCTTTGGAAGAGAAAGATCAAGATTGATTATGGACCTCCTAGTGGATTTCTTTGGTACTGCTGCAGAACGTCCAAACTTTGGACACGCTGAAGACACGCTGAAGTCTAAATTATTTGTAGTGACATAGCTTTAATGTTAGGGAAAAGTGGAGTTGGTCTCAGCTCTCCCATTTTTTAATTGGCCTTTGGAAAGTTTCTCCGCTGGAGGTACATGTATATGTCTTTGAGACAGATTCAGGTTGTCTATGTTTGACTCAGTCAATTTGCAACCTCAGTGCCCATGTCACACCCTGACAAACACAACCCTTGATGATACAGGACCTCAACAACCCACAGGAGAAGGGCTCCCCATTCACGTTGCCATGGTTTCCTTTTCAGCAGAGGCCGATGAGGGATAGTGTCAATTTTAGGAACCATATATCAGTAGGACCTGTAACCCCTACGATACTGCAATTCAATACTCATAAATAATGGAGCATCTCCATGCTCCCAAAACAGATCTACTCCAAGTGTTGAAAGCCAGGTCAACACCACATTCCTCACTCTTTAACTGGAACAGATGACGACTTTCCACAGCAACAAGTACTGTATGTTATTTTAGAAATTCAGGATAATCATACTTTATAAAATGACTGTCTGAGAAACTCTACCTTACACTACACTAGAGCATGCATTCTGGACTATACATTTTGGACATAAAGTAGAGTGGATTCATTCCTCAAGTTAACCGACATCTTTCAGAAGATTCTGTAGCGAGGTTTCATCTGTTGAGGGCAATACTGATGAAAGACTGCAGTCAGTGTGATAAGATTGAGGAACGAATCCACTCTACTTTATATCCTTGGACATACAGACGATGATCCTTACAATTACATGTACATTCTATGGAAATTCATACATTTGAATGCATCAAAGTGCTTCTTCAATGCTGAAACTGATGGGGTACATCATAAAAATAAGTTTGAAGAGTGTTGTTGAATTTGCACAGTGGAGCACACTGAGTGACCATGACATTGAAGTTCACTCCCTATAAGACTTGCACCTGTTTGCTAGAGAAAAGAAAGACTCAAGTCATTAATTTGTCAGATTGTGATTTATACGATATTCACCAGGGTATTGTATAAGCACTCTGGAAGGAGATGAAATATTGTCACTTTGATACATGGCGAGGTGCCCCGCTGGCAGCACCAATAATTGCTCTGCCCAAACTGCACTTGACAGCAGCTGGAGAATGTAAACAGCCATGTGGCCTGCCGAGTGGAACACCCAATAACAAGGTGCAAGGAGAAACGCACCACCTGAGGCTGGCCAAGACTTTCACTAGAAACTTAAATAAACTTTTATAATCTACTGCATGATGATTGTACAAGGTACAACATACAGCATCTAGTTCTATGTAACAGCAAACATGCTATGAGACTCATATACCTAACAAAAGGATATGTAGTATGAGATGAGAAAATACTTTTACAGCAGTACAATCATTAGTGGAATTTAAAGCGTTTCGGCATTTAAAAAAAAATTGTATGGCATAGGTTGAGCAGTTCGAAAACGTTTAGCTCGGAATTACAAAGAATGCTGAACATATTTCTTTCCTTGAATACACTAGTACATGCTGAGACACATCTTTTTGAAAAAAAAAACACACAAAAAACACCTATCCCTGACATCACCTCACCCCTCCCTCCTCATCAGCATGCAGGCAAACTCACCTTTGGGGTCGCCACGGCTACACTGATGTCAATGTAGTCTCTGTACACAATCTCCTTGTCTTCAATCACTGGAGAAAAAAAGATGAACAATTACTCAAAAGGTTTACAAACCAACTCAGCTCGAATTCATTGTCTTTGTTTAATACTAAGAGCAGATAAAAGGTCACAGAGGTGAGTTCTATGGGTTGGGTACTCATACATGCATGTAAGGTTATCCACCTACGCTGATGAAACATTGTAAGCTCATTGAAGTCAGAGGCAGTGCATATCATCCGTGTTAATGCCATTGACCTTATAATGAGGTCAAGAATATGTCAATTTCTTTAGTAACCCTGCATGACTATCATAAGGTTGAAACCAGTGCGTACATGTAAATTGTAAAATTGGCAAGAGTTTGACTTTATGTATGGAGAACTTAAGTGATGGTACATGTCAGGGGTGTGAATGTGTATGGCTGTAGTGTAGTTTCCACATGTTTGTGCTTCAGCTGCAGCAACCAACATAACACTGAGCACTGCTAATGACCCTAATCTGATTTGAAAGGTCCTGACTACCCTGCATGTAATTAGCCAATTAGTGAGTGACGTAAAGACATCTATAATACAGTATGGAAGCTGAGATGAAGCTAATCCTTGGCTTTGTGGATTTATTTGCAATAACTAGCAGGCATGTTTTCACGGATAGTACACTTGAACAGTGACCCTTTACAAAGTTGCATGTCTTTCATAGAATGTTTGGTTGATATATTGTAAAGCAGATCTGCTCAATGCTCGTCTCCCTTCTTATGAGTCTACTGAAGTCCACAGATAGGAGCTTGCTCAAGGGACCTATGCAGACTTTGCTGTTATTGCATTCTGGTACCACTATATCCATCTACGTGTATGAAGTTATTCATTATTGACATCTTGTCCTCCTTCTTATGGGCCAATGAATAAGACGAAGGAACGCCATGCCTTGGTCACAAATTATCAACGCAGCAAAATCAACAAGTTGTACAGGAGCCAGTGGATGTTGGAGAGATTTCAGTTGGTTTCTGTTTTTTTCTTGGAATGCAAACATGCATTTTGTGTACAGGAGTGTGTCACGTGTTTGTAGAATTCTGAGATAAGATTCATTTATCTTTAATGAGCATGGCAGCAGCTGGAGATACATCACACTATCAGTGATGTGAAAATACCAAGTTCATTTCTAGCTGGTCTGACCTTTCCCTGGGTTCATTTACATTTTGAGAGGATCTATCATTTGTTGCGTTAGCACAGGGGGAATAGCAGCAGCAGCAGTGTATGCTGCTTCTGGTGATGCCAGCAGATCCCAATCTAACTGAAAGCATGTGGCAAGTCACCTTCAAGGAACTGCCCCCTCCCCTTCCACAAGGAGCTACATTTATTGTGTTTGTTGGAGGGCTGATGACAAGTCACCTCAGAGACGTGTTCCTTGCTGGGTGACAGGGACTGAGTGGCCCGCCGGTGTCCTAATGGATGTTGTTTTATTGTGCCCACAAGTCAGAATGTACTTCCTGCAGCATACAGCTGCACTTGGGCAGGACAAGCCAAGTTAAGTACCCAGACCTATTGGTATTAAAGGCCCACATCTCTCTTGTTTTGTACTGCTTCCTGGAAACTGGGCTGATGGCACATTTTGTGATGCAGCTTTTGAAATGTTCTTACTGTTTGTAAGGTACTCACAGATACTGGGAGACTCCTATAATATAACAAAATGAGTATGTATTTATATTGTACATATCCAGGATTTTTACAAGTTTGAGACACAAATCTTGTCTGCATCAGTAGTATCAAGAAGGCAAAGGGAATCTACCATCATTGTTGAGATTGGCTACTGTCCAGAATACCTGTAGGAAATGTTTTCAGTCTACTAGGCCAAACGTATAATGTCAGAAAAGCAACAGGTAGAAAACATTACGATGCATCATTTTTTCATCTTAAATCCCCACACATTATCCAATACATGCTGCATTGTATCAAAATGTAATTAAACTGGCACCTTTGACCAAAGCAAGTTGGAGACTTGGCAAGATTACAGAAAAAGTTGTTCTGTGCATGATTTTCTGGGAGGGCACTTTGCTTTCCTTGATTTACTCACCTATCAACAATGAGAGACACAAAGCTTTTGTGTCAAGTGTATTTCTCCAGACATTCAAAGCTGTCAAACTTAAATCTCTTCATATACATTGTCTGTAGAAAAAGTTTATGTTTCATAACTTTGTGCCAAAACATTTCTTCATTCTTGGCTACTGCTGCTCAACAGACAAAATTCTGATTCTAGACACCAGGTTCTCATCAAACATTCAATGCAGGTATGCAGAAAATGTCTACATGCACATGCTTCCACCAGGGACTGCAAGGGTCAGAGCCTCCAGGAATGGGTTTGTAGGGGAGAAAGAGACAGAATATTACAATCTCAGAGAAAGCTACAAATCTTGTTTTGTGACCTTCAGACTCTCATTTTCCAACTCTTCTGGGTAAACATGGATCAGCATTCAGTGGAAGATGACAGTACAAACTGAAATTCTGGTCAATTTCCCAAAGTCTACATTTATCTACATTGTTACACCAGGCCTAACTAAGAAATAATTCTTAGTAATAGCAACATCAAACAACTTCAGAGTAATAAGAGTAAAAGACATCTTAGCTACTGGAATAAATAAACTCTTTTCAGGTAGACTGCAGTGACATATTGACATAATGAAGCTGCCCTTTGGGACTGTACTACCAGACAAGGGTATGATAGGACCATTAACTCTAACTAATCACTTCAATACAATCTAAACAGCCTAATGCACCCCCTCATTTGCTGTCAGTAAAAATTAGTATCAACACTGTTGCTGAATACTTTTGTGCAAAAAGGAGAAGGAGACATTTGGGCATCAGTTTAGTACTTATCTTTTATGGCTTCATTTGGTTTTCTCTCTTTTGTTTCTTTTTCTCCTTCTGCCATTTCATTAAATGGATTCAATTCCTTCATTTTTGGGCCAAATGGCATAAAATTTGGCATGAAGGTATGGTGGCCTAATACCCCCACTTTCTGTTTTGTATTCATGTGAACATACACAAAAAGTTGAAAAGTTGACAAAAAAGGTGGGAAGACACTGAACAAAACTTTTCAGCTTGCGCCTGACATGGGATGATAACTGGCTGCACTGCTGCCTTCCATCATGTCTGAGTGTGACAGGGATGCAGGACAGATTTAAGTGTCTCTGGATTAACAGACTGTTGGGTGTCACAGGGGACATCCTCCCTCCACTTGCCCACAATGTCCATCACATAGACATGCGGGACACCACATGAATCTTTGATGACCCACAACTGTTGCAGCAGCGACACTCATGAAAAATGAATGTAACACAGATAAAGACACCCTGGAAACACTCTCCTCAGGGATTGCCTCCTTTCTTAAGTCTACAATTATTCTTTCTTCAGCGCTGTCACTGAAGAGGCTTTGATGCCCAGAGGTGAGGCATAAACAGATATGTCTCTATGAAATTTTCAGGTCCTGACACTGATTCAAACGACCAGATGCGTCACTAAAATGCAAACATCTACTTCAGTTCTATTACTATTTATAGCTCATTATTGATTGATCAAGGATATGAGGACTTTGATGGCTAACTTTATCGTGCCTTCGCCAGTCATTGAACCATTTCTGGGCGGAAGGTGACGGTGGAGATGATGGTCATTAACCTAATATTTTCTAATTGCCTGAAAATTTCTCAGCAATTACAACTTTATTGCAGCTGACACAATTTACCAACCGGATCAAGCAATTAAAAGGCTCTGCTAATCACCATGTCTCATGGCATCTTCCCTTCAATGTGTATCTCATAGTACAGCCAATTAAACCAACACTGGTGGTAGTGTACTGGTCAGCCCTGCCCCCTTGTGGAATGCAGCAGAACTGTCCAGACAATTTCCATTGCAAGGCCATAACAGGATGGATCCTGGGGGATGACCTGACAATACACTGAGCATCTGCATCATATCTAAATGTATTATGTTCATGCATGCAGCTCAAGTCAGTCCTGTATGCTATAATCAAAGTATAGCATTTGTGGTTTGGCACTCAATGATAAGAATAATCTATCACAGCCAGTGAGACAGCTAGATATCCACAGGGCAATACTTCTGAACTGAAGTCTTCTCACCAAAACATTTCATGCTGCAGTTTTAGAGAGTTTGCATTAAGGCTATAATCAAGGGCTCCATTGGAAGGCGATTTCGGAAGCATTACCAGCATTTCAGCACCATGGAGATGTCCTTCAGTAGTTTTAAACAAGCCCAGCTAGTAATAACTGTAGGACTTATGGCTCAATTTCTAGGATACCATACCAATAAAATCAAGTAAATTTGTGACATGCATTCTGTATATTCATAGTTTCTAATATCTTTGACGCCTCTTCCTCAAATGGAACATGCCCATCCAATTATTGACACAAATGTTAGTAACATAAAACACATTCAAAACAGCAGTATTTTTATAAGCCCATTATATAGCGGTGTGGGAAGTGTAAAAGAGCAGTAAGGATGATTTCAAACTTTAAGAGACCACATGAATTTTTCCACTGTTAATGTTTCCAGCACGATCACAGGAGCTCCACCGCTCCAAGATATTTAAAGATTTCTGGAGCGAGCATGGGGCTGGCTTTGTCTAGTCAAGTGGCTGCTAACATGCACCCCATCAGCCACCCTGATTACAATCACTGAACATTAGACATGCCTGAGAGGTTTATCACAGCCAGAATGCATGCATCAATGCAACAGGAATTACTTTGACTTTTGATGGGGGCTTTGGGACACAGTGTCAAGTAAAAATACAACCTGGGAGATCTGTAGGAGAGCAACTGTTCAGTCATATTTAGGGAGAAGTGTTGGAGCGCTGTTGTGCTCACCGATGTGTGAATTTGACACAAATTTCTCTGGGGAGGGATGAGACAGCGACAATTCATCATGCGATAGATAGTGAAGATGGACTGTTATGACAGTCACTGTAAGTTCTGATAAAGACGAATGATATACACATCAAAGGTAGATTACTTTGCAAATGTGTTGTTGGGGGAATCTGGATTAAACAATCAACTTAAAATTATGTAGGATTACAATAGTCTTGTATCACAGGGTACTGTTTACACCATTAATGTCAAACTTCAAAGTCACCTTCAGCTGCTTTGACATCAACAATGGGACTAATGATTACCTAGTAATAATATTAATAATGTTTCCCTAACAAATCTGACTAAATGACAAGAAAAAAACAGGTAGAGTGAATGAGCTCTCCATAACAGTTCTTCTCATCAATAACAGTTCCTGGGACAGATCAAAAAGGATCATATTCAATCATTAATTACAGGACCTGGTAAACATCATGTTGAAAGGTATGTTACATTGTTGTAATTGTACCAAATTAACTCACAAAGCAACCTATTTGAGCTCAAGATCTTTTTACAGCTTGCATGTTTTCAGGGAGTTAACTGTGGTGCAGTTTGATATCTGTATGTAAACAGGGCTGTACACAACTTGGGAAAACTTTCTTGGTATTTGGTTGGCCATTCCAAATCTACAGGACCTCTGATGTACCAATGAGTGAGTGAGTTGTACAAATATCATGATGTACAAATATAATGACATTTGTTATTGTACTATTTATTTTCATTGAGGTCCTTATGCAGAGGTGCTACACTTCCTCAAAGGGGCATGAAGACCTGATTGAGTGAGCGAGAGCAATATGGCTACAAATTTTTATCATATCTGGTGTAACATGCTGTTTCAGAATAACAGCAATGGAACGAAAGGTTGGAGCAGTGCGCAAGTGCCACCTAGAGACAGTGGCTGGATATGCATGCAGAGGAAATACTGTACTGTGATATTACATAGATGCTAAGTATTAAGAACATTGGAGCAGCATTGATGATGTTAACCTGATGTTTTGTTGGCCATTCTGTTGTTCTTTTATAACAAGACAAGGAAAGAATGGAAGAAGAAAACAGGCTTACCTGCATTCACCACAGGCTGGTCCTGGAGAGCAAACGCAGCTGCTTTCACGAAGGGAGACATGAACCCAAGCTTCACACCATGTTTCTTCAAGAAGCCATCTTTGTGTTTGGACCTCATCTCTATAACATTACTACAAAACAAAATGCAAATATTTTGTCTTAGAAATATATCATGAATACAGTGACTGTTAACTAGACAAAGATTGACTATGCTACATAGGGTAGCATACACACATTTCACCATTCACACGCATTTGTGTGTGCTTTCAATGATGTGTACAATAATTTCCTCCAGTAACTGTATTCCTCATACTGCATGAATCTAATTGAGTTTATTGAGATACCCTTTAGCCCTTTTATGGGGCTAATCTTCCAGGGCTCGTTAACAATATAAGTACAAATATAAATTCATAAAACAGGCTTGTAACAAGAATCTAATCTCAGTAAAATTTAGGTTGTACATTCCTGGTTACAATCATTCTATTAATTTGATAAATTTTTTTTCTACAGATGCGGAAAGTAATAAATTCAGTCAGTGTGGCTTAAAATATTTCTTAGTGAATGAGTTAGGCAGCAAGAGCTTGTGTCATTGTTAGGCATTTCTAGCGAGGTACGTGTATGTATGGAAACCCGGCAGACTTCATAACCACCTGAAGTTAGGCAGACTTGCCCGTCCCATGGGTAACCTTAACCATATCACATCATGTCATCTGGGACAAACTATGCCATCTGCCTAACTTCATGAATCATAATTGGAAAGCCAACACAAAGGACAAACCTGCTAGGTGCAATTTTGTAAGAAATGAGTTCCAAGCACCTAAGAAGTCCCCAACTACATCTTTTTAAGATGTAAGAGGTGACATTGCACCGCTGAGAATTTTTTAAAAACAGAGTAAAGGAAACAGCCCATCCAGATAATCAGCAAAGCGATCTCCAGGCATGCCCCTGTTGCCTAACTCTGCAACTCTTGCCCTTGTGATTGTGAGATGGTTGTATTCTTATTAATATGTGGCAGCTGACCTGCCGGTCAACTCTACCTCTGCAGGAATAACAGTCTGAAGTGAGCGGTTATCGCTGGGTGAGCGATGGGGTGATGCCCATCTGAAGGCACATACACATGGTCTTGTGCAATCTGACGGAGCCAATGGCTTTTATGGCATCAATCTTTAGGCAATAAGCAAGGAAACAGGCAAATGCTTGGGAGGGTGTGAAAGACGATCAAGATAGGGGCTTGAATCGTGCATAACAAAGCTGCCGCCTCGGTGGGTGGGGGAGGGATCCTACACAGTTTCACCTTCAAAATGAAGGTCAGGACACAGCGGGGCGGGATCAGGAGGCTTTTACTGCCTTCAAATTTCTGTTTGTTTTAAGAAAATACCTTCAATATTGGCTACATTTTCCAGATCCTACTTGCATGTTTCTGCTTTATCGATGCTAAAACATTTCGTTGTTGTAACAAGCATCTTCTTATGTAAAATTTTTCGAAAGTACAAATTACATTATATATATTGCAAAAAGCATTTTGCATTTGTACTTGTCTTGTAATTAATTACTCCAGTGAGCCATTGGAAAAGGGACTGCCATCTATTTAGGCATATTCCATGATACATTGTCTAGATTTCATAGATTACACTCTCATTAGTCCACTGTTCATATAGACATAGATATCAGGCATGTAAACTGGGATGTAAACTGGCAGATTTCATCAATGACTTTAAAAATCAAATGACATCAAATGGTTTCAATGAATGCCAAGCTTATACATTGGCTTATACTTAACGAATAATTCCTTAATCACATCAAACAAAAATTAAAAACATAAACAAAGCATGAATACTTCCTAAACTATAGCACAGTTCATTCATTTGGAACAGGATAGCTTTCAGCCCAGGATTGCCTCTGCCAGTACAAGAAAAGGATTAAGCCAGATTTTACAAAAGTATCCAAAAGCTCCTGATGGCGTGGTGACTGCTGAAGCCTGGTCTGAGGATTTCTAATCTTAACTACAAGTGATGTAGCAGGTCTACATGTATGTACCTCATGTCACACTCCTGGAACGTTGTCAACATGGCACACTCATTCTGAGCATCCTTCAGTCGCTGGGCAATGCGCTGTCGCATCCTGTTCATTTTCACCTGACATAAACAAATAAAAACATCATATTCAGTTCATGGATAACTGCTGCAGATTCACACGGGGTGTGCAGGTGAACTCCTTTTATCATCACTTATCACATTACAGAAAGTTTTGGTAACTTTGTAAATTTTATGTAACTTCTGATATCTTCTGGTACACAAAATGTTCTAAGAAGACTTCCAAGAAGACACTACAATATTACTCATCATGTTTTCCACTTTTATTTCATTTCTCAATTTGAGATTGATATGTTCATCTGCTAGGCAAAGAGACTTAAACATGACTCATCCCTGTTACAGGAAGAACTGTTGAATGCTGTTATAACCTTACTGCATCCCTCAGTCTTCTTGGAACACCTCTCAGATCCCCTCCTGACAGATTAAGCAGTGTGTACCATTGATGTGGGAGCAACTCATTTAACTTCTTTATGATTAGGCACTTTTATACAATCTTTAACGACAAAGCATAAACTGGGCTTTATATTCTTAACCCATCCAGCGTCTAAATTGATACATGGCAGGCAATCCTGCTGACGAGCTTAAGAAATACTAAAGAGGGCGTCAGTCAGGCATGAGTCGGGTTATGGGCTGAGACTTAATTGTCCAGTTTGTCTGGACGTCTGAGGCCAACTCTGGCTGAGAGTTTAATGGAGAATTGAGACGTTACCCACAGAGCCAAACACTTAGTTATCCTTTAAGGAGTCAATACCGTATGCCGCGATGTGCTTTCAACCCTGCCAAGGGCTATTGACTGCTTCTTCCGCAAATTGATATTCTTGGTTGTTGATAAATCATATCAAGCCACTTGTGAAGGACTTGTCGATACTTGTCCCCGTTGCTGATCCTTCAGCCCCAGGTGGCGACCGTGCGCGGTGCTCCCCCAGACATCTACACCCAATAACAGATACCTCAACACCTCCAGGTTTTAAACTTGGGCTCATTTTCACCTCTTACTCAGCCAGTTGGCAATAATCTAAGTGATGAGGTCATTGGCTCTTTCCGCTTACCACACCACAGCCATCGATTGGGCTCTCGCAAAACTGCCAAGATATCAATATGCCTAATGACCTCAAGATATACTTGACTGTATGAAATATATCAAGCTAAATGGGAGAATTCAGAAATGATCCCAGTCCCGCAGGAAGGGGGTGCATATTAGCGGGGAGAGGAGGTTAGGAAGGTCAGAGTGGGCAGGGGAAGCAGGGTCAACTGGTCACAAGTCAAATTGTTTTAGAAAGCCCAGTGAGAATAGCATGATAAGGACCTGTCAGGAGTGGTCAATACTATTGACCAGTTTCCTTAACCAGTGGATTATTCCCTGGTCCAGGCGTATGGGCTGGGACATGTGAAGACACCACAGGGTCCGTGGGCTGATCTACAGGATCAGGGAGTAGAACTAGCTGGTCAGCACTTCTTTCACATCCTCTTTTCTGGAGGAGAGGTAACTTTTGGGTTTCCACCAAAACAGGAATTTTGGTACATACGTGACCTCATGTTGTTTGTTAACTTGCCTCATATACAAGTATCTTTTCTGAATTTGCAATGTCACCAGGAATATTTAGAACTGATAAATACTACTGTAACAGTAAGTGCTTCTTCATACTTACTGTACTGTTTTCACTTGTTTTCCCTCATAGAGTTGTGAAAGGTTGAAAAAGAACTTCCCTACACCATTCAAATTTATTGCTGTTCGAAAAAAGGTTAATTGGCAGTTTCTCAAGTTACACCATCTTCAGCAGCCAAATGCTGCACTAATGAGAGGATAGAAGAGCTCCAACATGGACTTATCAGGGACAATTAGTCAAAGTCATAGCTGCTGCTTAAATGTTCCCCTGGGCTTCCATTTCATCATTACCAAAGGCAATGCTTGTTTCGGCACAGAACGCTAAGACACTCTTAGCAATCCTGCACTTAACCTTAATAAAAGGGACAAACTCATCTATTACCCAGCAACAAAACTTCCCTAACCTTGTGAGAGAAGTTTTGTTGCCCTGGGTACTTTGTTTGGCGGCTCCCTAACAGCTGCAAGTACAGACTAAGGTCATGCTGAAATCCTGATTGTAGGTACAACAATGTATCTCACATTGTGTAAATTACTGCGATCATTTCTCACAGGTATTCCCCACTGCCTATTACAGGTAGGGATTGCTCCATCAATCTGGGCACGGAGAGGGGTGGACAGCAGAGTTAATCTTTAAATGGGTGGTGGTTCCTCCACAACAGGGGGACTCCAGGGGGAACTATAATTTCCTACACGCGGCATGCTCATTTTTCATCTTCCGCCTATTTCACTTGGCCCCGAAAATGGCGCAGAAATTGCCAAAGAACACAGGAGAGCTATCGCTGGCCTACCCTGTTCTCTGTGCGTGCACCTGCAGTGACCCCCATGGCCGGGGCAGCCGCCGCAACAGGCTTCATGTCAGCCACTGTAACAAAATAGGCAACATGGAATACATTAGGTTATAACAGTGCTAACGTCAAACAAGGACTGAGGCACTATCAATTACACGGTAAATGACAGCATAACAGAGCAGGGATGTCAAGTATATGGGAAAGTGTCATAAATTATTAGGGTAAGTAAGAGGAAATGTATGTCGTAAAATTTAGTAGTTACATGAAATCTGATCTGTTATGTATGACGTCTTTCCAGGCAAATTGCACCCCTTAATGGAAACTTATTTGAAAATTCATTTTTCAAGACTCACGAGAGACTGGGGAAATGACAGATTAAACCTGATGCAATTCATAACGAGGACATCTGATTCTCTGTTTCCTGCCAGTCATTATCAATGTCACCAAGACCTTCCAGTGTCATTGTCGCATGCGTGAAGACTCTGGGTAACAGCAAACCCCAAGCAGCCGTACGGCACATGCAAAATGGCAATATATCATCAAGGTAGAGTATATTGTATTATACAAAAAGCTTTCTATTATAAATGGCAACATTTTAAGGGTTGGATGAGACTGTGAACAGAAAAGTAACAGTCATTCCTTCAACATTTCACACGATCACCGCACATGAAAGGAAAGTTAGGTTTTACTATCAGGAAAGCTACAAATAAGATGTCAGGCTCCATATGGGCTTTAAAAAGTAGTTGTTATGGAGGAAGAACATTGTAACAACTTTCAATATCAGGGTCACCAAAGGGCAGCCTCAAGGGCATCTCCTGGGGATGTCTAACACACCCTACAATGGGCCATATGGGCAGCTACTCCTGGATCCATAATCCACTAACATCAATAAAATCACTTGACAGACAAATGTATCACCTAGCACCCAAGGAACATCATGCAAACGTGGTAAATGGCACCCTAAAGATGAGTGTAAAACCAGACGCTAAGTTGTAAAAGTAGTTAATTTACTCGGCCCCGGCAGCCCCTCGCCACACTTCTGACTGATGAGGTCAAGCAGAAAATGGATTGGGAAGGAATGGAGAGACACTTAAACCTGTCAGGGCTTTATCGCCTGAACAGGTGTGGGCTTTACTGGTGGTTTATGGTGTGGGCCTTGAGGTGCTGATGGGGTGGGGGCAGGGAAACATATTACCAAGGCATAATTGTATTCCCGGCTTATTGGGGGAGAACTTGGAGTGCTCAGCGTTATTACCGTGTTCTCAAGAACAGGCTTTGTCCCTGTCATAGCTAATCTCAATCAAGAACAGCAGCAAACTTATGGCTCAAGCTGCAGGACATACATGTAGGGAGATTTGTTTAAGTGTTATAATCTAGCCAATCAAGTTGCCAGAAATATATTTTCTGCATGTAATTCCTGGCCTCGGAGTTATAACAATGAACTGCTGATCTCATATCTTCTGAAAATTACATCTTCATCTGGTTTGAAAGCAAAAGGCTTCCTCAGCTTACCATAATGGTGAATAGGAGCAGTTACATGTGTTTCTTGTGCATTGAAAAGCTCCTAGCTTTAGGTTACACGAGTCAAGAGTGTAGGCAACTTTACAAGGAGTACATGTAGCAGCAAATAAAAGGACTTCAAATTGTTCTTTAGTAGTTAGGGATTTGCGATAGCACTCATATTACACCCTTGTTAAAGACCACTTGGTAAACGTTGCAGCCAAGTCTGAAAATGACAGGCCATAAACATAATATGTGCATTTGGGCCTTAAAAACTACTTGTGAGTAGATTAGGGACCTTTGGGATTATCCTTGGTGCTGGATACGCTGCTGTTAAAGGTTTTACATGGAGTTCTCTGGACGGGATGTTACAACTAGAATAAACTATCAGGTGTAATGCTGGGGAAGTTGAGGTGAAACAGGAGAGTCATCATGTCAGGGCTGGAAAACTTTTTTTTTACTTCAAATACACTCAGGTGGATTTAATATTATTCAAACAACATCCATTCTGTAACTAGTACTAAGCAATATGGGTGCTGGTTCAGACAGACTGTTGTAGCTGTATCCGAGGGCCTGCTATGTAAAAAAAAGGCCTGCTATGTAAAAAAAAACAACCTTATGCCTGCACTGCTAATTGCTTGGAATGTTAGGAGGGGCAGAGTCAGAGTTATGCTGGTTATGACCTGTCTAACAGGTTTTAATCTGGGTCAGGACCAAAAGTGCAATTAACTGTGACCAGACTGTCACTTGCGGGCAAACCGTCATTTCTCAGCCCAACTTAGATTTCTTTAGGGATCACCTATTAAGAGATTAACCTTATATTTACTTATATCTACCTTTATACTGATTGATATTCAAGAGCAGCTTTAATCATCCAAGACAGTATATTGATATAATCACTGTAATAATGTTTTTATATTACATATTCATTAGTTACTGATAAACAAGTGGGTGTTCCCAGAATCTTGTGACACCTTCGTCATGCCACATTGGCGCTGTTCTGTGTACGTGTGTGACCTTTGCTTGTCTTGCTAATCCCCACAACTGCAGCAGTGTTACATTTCTGCAGCCTGGAGTTCACCTGGGACCTCCTGGTGTTAGGTTATGATATCAAAACTAGCACTGCTTCACCTACTTGATCTCCTTAAGTGTAAAATCATGTCACCCTACAAAAATTGGGCAGTGGGACACAGCAGATAGTCCAAATGAGATCAGATTCACAATTGAAAAATTCTAAAAAATTCCTTGTTTCTGTCATTTTCATTCTAAGGAGGGCATGCAATTAAAAACTTCTTCCAATGGGGAGGGGGATATTCCCGAGCAGGCTTTGTAACCCTTGCTGCTGTCTGCTATTGGGCCAGTTAGTCCTCACTCTTATTGATTCTAGCTTGTCTCTGACTTGAGAAGAAGAGAATAATGCTGTTCCAGTCCAATTCATGTAACCTGTAACCTTGAAGTGGCATTCAGGTCTTGCTGTTTGCTTGAGAGTTTGTTTATACATGAAATATTCAAATTTGACTGCCAGTTGTATGGTGACAATTAAGGGAAAAAACTATATGTACCAATGATGAAAAACTTTTCTGTGTTATTTTCCTACTTACCTGGTTTGGCTGTGATGGGCTGCTGAGGCAGCGGAGGTAGTGGTGGAGGCGTGGTCGGGATGGGACCAGCTGCAGGTGCTGCAGGTGCAGGAGCAGCTGGCTGTGGTGGGGCGGGGGCAGGTGCAGCTGCTGGTGCAGGTGCAGGCTTCTCAGCTGCAGGAGCTGGCTTTTCAGCTGGAGCTCCTCCAGCTATGTAGGGAAGGATAGGTAGTAAAGGTTTATTTCAAGTTCTTGCTTCCACTTTACTTTAGGATTCAGAATGTTTACCTACTCACAAGCCTACTGCTATTTTTTCCGAAATCAGCAAATGAAACTTATTTTAATATCTCAAATCATTACAAACATCATAGAGCATTTTGACAATTTTTACTAAACATAGCTAGGTCTGAATCATGAAAAATGAAAAGGTACACATATAAATGACATCCCAGTGGAAATTGTTACTTGTACACAATGTACTTCTTTATCTTGCATCCTCTCAAGTCAGTGTGCCAGCCCATGTAACAAAGTTAACCCATTTCAGCAGTTTGGAAGATGTATGTAGGCATTACAACACTTTGGTGTGTATTGAATATAGTCTGTTCTATTTGGGTCGTGGCAGTGCTTGTCTTGAAATGTCTAAGATGGAGATCAATGAGGGTACTCTAAGCCAGTCTGGCACTTAGCCAATAGTACCACAGGGTACTACTGTCTTGGAGGAATGTAGTGAATGGAACACAAGTTATATATCTCATGGGAGAAACCTGTAAGCCAAGGGGCCAGTCTGGTGCTGTAGTTTTAATGTCTTTTCCAGTTTTGGAAAGTTTAGGTGACAAGACTGACAAGTTGGGGCACTCCCGGAGATGACTGGCGGCCAGGGTGACAAGAAATAATGGGTTGTGGCATGAAGGATGACAAACTGTAGGGAGTAATATGCCTGATCCATCTTCTATTGAGCTGCATTCAAGTGGGGTTAGGACCTACCATTAGCCATGTCACAGGTGTCACCCCAGTGGGGACTTCTTACAAATTTCCTCATTCGTTTGTACACGATCTTCGATTACCGTTTTCTCTGCAATTGGGATAATGCTTTTGTGGCCTTGCCATGGTTTTTGCCTCTTGCTGGAGTTACAGCAGTATTCTATTTGTTCAATGTTTAGTCTTGCAGCATGTATAACAGATGTATAATATTACTAGTAGCATTGACATTCATTTGAATCAAAAATATAAAATACATTTTTATAATTTTACACTGAATCAGTATTCCAAGGATTTCATAAAGACCCTTGTTTACCAAATGTAGAAGGCCTTCTTTAAATATTCAATCAAAAAACAATTATCTTCAATATGCCCTTTGTATCTTGACCCCAACTGTTCACTTCAAGTTTTTGTATCCAAAGTTTGTGTAAATATCCCATTGTTTGAATAAAAACAGCAGTACATATAATATATTCTACAAGTCTCAAAGTCAACCTTACTTTTCATTCAAAACCAACCTTCCCACTTGATTCTAAATGAACTCCCTCTGTATAAAACCCAAATACAAGGTTAACTTCTTCCTTGTGTTCTATTTCTATGTCGTACTCTCAGTCAGCAGTATTTGCAAAATTCATGAACCAAGGAAATAAGATGATTGCCTTAATATGATTCTGCAGTCAATGACTTATTATGCATAATGTAGCCTGGCCTCGTAAAAGGAGCTACAAGGTCTTATGTTTTTCAGAACAAAGAAACTAATCATTATTTCTATCAGTAACACAAGGCTGGATTCCCAGGGCATGCCAATTAACTAAATTTATTAATCAAAACATGTATCTTTCTCCTCCCGGGGGAGGCTGCCTCTGGAGAAGCCGCGGAGAAACATCGTCATTTCTGGTTTCTACAGATAAGGGTTAGTCAGACACGCCCAATTGTATTGATTCTTGGAATAAATCTTCTGCTAATAAACTTATTGCTAAGCACACTGAAGCCGTATCCTCTTCTCTTAAGCTGAGTTGCAGCTGATGAGTAAGACATGCTGCACACAGCCTGGATGGGTGGTTTGGGGACTAACATACATGTGTATATAGATGCAGAATTTGAAATTTTTCGCTCTTTGTACTCGGAAAAGAACAGGGGATATTTATTATAAATACACCTGAACAATTACATATCACTAAATGACAGACCTATAGTCATCACCTTTGGATGCAAAAAGAAAAAAAAGCTTTACACATCCAATGTTGCTCTCATCAGGTTAACACATGGAAACAGTTGTCTCCATTGCTTTTGGAAGCATAATAACCATTCCCCTACAAGGAGGGATACAATTCACAAATAAACACTGCTGCATGTATTATCAGTTCAGTTTGATCTGGAAAGACATGCGGGTTCTCTGAAGACATTTTTATACCTTATCGAATCTGACTTTGACAACTAACTTATCTGTTACATTGTAACACGGGTCAATAAATATCCTGCTAGAGTGTTTCATGCTACTCAGTTAAAAGCAGCTTATATAAGGTAGAGGGTGAAAAAACAAGGGTGTCTTGTTACATTAGAAGGACAGGCAATGTGTACAACGAATAGTACTTTGGCTTTTGTGGTACGCTCATGGTATCTGCTGCAAGTTACATAAACTATCACTTAAGTGCCAGAGAGCCTATTAAAGTGTCAAGTGAAAACCACAAGAACACAATGCTCATGATCAGGCCATTTGGTAATAGCAGTACACACATGCGTCCAGAATAAATTGCCCCAAAGTTGTGACCATATTGAACTGTTTGTTGATTGAATAAAATGTGACTTCCTGATTCTAAATTTCCTTAAACATTTCCAACATGCATTTATTCCAAGTAGACAGCATTCCAAGATATCCTTAAGAAGCACCACATATCTTAAATAGTGCTGATACTAGTTTCACAAATTACTTACATGTATAACCTTTTGTGTTCTTCTGTTCTATTATAGTATTACACAACTGTTTTTCTTTTGTTCTTGTGTATATGCATAAATGTGACAGTTTTCAAAATTAGGCCACACCAAGTAAATTTTATGGATGACGTCCGCGCACGCATTGATTTTGGCCTGTTCCTAGAAAAAAACAGAAATTCCGCTTCCTGTAACTATGACCAAATAGTCACGACAGTGCCGCAAATAGGTTTGTACGGACCAAAGCTTAATAAAGCATCAAGCAAGACTTCCATTAGGAATTCAGTTTGGTACATGCTGCCACATTTGAAGAACTTGCTCCATCTATCT